CCCTTCATCCTGCGTGGCAGAGCTGCCAGTTTTTGTTCTGTTATGTTATTGTGGTGCTAAAAAAAAAAACAACAAAAACCCTCAAGTCCCTCTTTTCAGCAGTGTCAAGTCAGGATGAATTGGCCAGGAAAGCATGTTTATAGACTGTGTGAAGAACTTTGTCTTTGTGTGGGAACGTTGGTGACACTGGTATGGCTTGCCTGAATGAACTGCGATGACGCGGCTAATAAGGTGTCCTGCTGAGTGCTGCCGCAGCCTTTCTCAGACCTCCCACTTAATGCCATTCAGCTCCAGCTCAGTGTAGCTAATTTTTCCCATTCCCTCAATTCTTTAGGCCCCCCTTACAAACAGAAAAGTCAACTTTCACACCGAGGGGAAGATAAGTGCTTTAGGAAATAATCGTGTAAACAGAATGTTACCTTCTGACCTGATGCTGATACCTTGATCTGGGACAAAACCCAGCTGGCTATTGCATTAGACATGGCTATTAAAGGAATAATGCTGCTGATCCTCCTTACAAAGTGCCCTGAGAAATGGTTTAGCCAAATCACAGTGCCTCTTGTCACACTGAATCATGTTTAGCTGCTCTCTTCCATGACCAAACTGCTGATATTTAGATGCTCCCTTGTCTTCTTTCTAGTGGCAGTATGAGTGGGGGATAAGAACAAGTGAAAGTCGGTGCTATTTCTGCTAGCCCTTTTATTTTCTTGATGAATTTCAGTGCTTTGTAGCATACATACCATATTTTAAAGAGTACGTTTTGTGAAATGTCCACAGTTGTAAAGGCTGAGTACTTTGAAGTGGGAAAAGGAAACGACAAAAGGATTTCAGTGATTCCAGTAACATGGAATTGTTCGTTTTAAGATCACACTAACCTATTCCCTTTGATTCTCAATAACTGAGACTAAAATGAATAACTAGATCAGACCTCCAGGAGTATCGGGGAGAAGAAGAACCTCTGTCTTTTAGTCACTTGAGTCTTGACAGGAAATTGGCATCTGGATCTCCTAAAAGGCTTTGAAAAAACTTAACCTTCACAATCCTTGTAGAAGATACTACCACTCAGACTTAGAGGTCCACCATTTCATAGAAGTTATTTGACTATCCTGGATTCCAGGAGCAAATGTTCAGCACTTGCTTTTACTGTGATGTTTTTTAAATTTCTCCTTAAGTTTGCCAATCACATGGGTCCATGATCTGAGCTGGGTAATTCGGTCATTGCAGGCAGGCCAGTTTGAAGCCTGTTCAGCTTCATACTTAAAGGATTTCAGTATTTCCTTGTAATTCTCCTGATGCATCCAGAATAACAGAGAGGTTTTGTCAGAGGCCTTTGGGAAAATGCATTAGAGGGCTGCCGTGCTTAAAATTGCTGAATTATAGCAGATAGTTTCCTGGAAGTCCATTTGACAAGAGAGCAGGTGCATTTCCAGTGTAGACCAAGTAACTTCTTTTGTGCCTTTGTAATACAGTTGCTGATAGTGTGAGACAACCATTCATTATTAGACCAAAATAAGAATTAAGTATATTTATTTTGCAGCAAACAAATCACAATAGTAATTTAATGTCAGTTTGCACCCTTACCCTCGATTTAGCACTTAAAGATATTGTGAACCATGGATCTGACACATTAAAGCATGTAAGTATGTGACTTCAATGGTAGACCTTACTTGAAAGTTACTGTTCTTTGGATGATATGTCCTTCTACTGTTGTGTCATCTGTAAAAAGCTACAGCCTGTAATCTCTTAATGGCCCTGTATGGTCACAACCAGCAGCACAATTCGCTCAGCGCACTGACGGTTTCCTTTGCTTTTTGGTACAGACTTCTGGAAGTGAAGTGCTTGTGCTTTCTCGCAAATCATGGCATTTTTACCCAAGAGCTAGCTGTTTTGTGACAGAAGTTTTAGAAGAGTTGTACAGAGATGTGTAGATCTTTAAAGTCTGGTGAAGCCCTCCAGGAAAATCTGATAGCAAGTACAGGTTAAAAGAGGTAGCATTGGTCCTGCCATTAAAAACATTAAATGAATGCTGGTGAGATTGGTTGGCTTTTTATACAGTTCAGATTTATTGCTCCGCAAACTGATTCGTGGAATCACTTTAAACAGTATTATTTGATTCATGGTTAAAGCAAGGATATTGTTACAGCAACCAACAGCACAGTAAAGTAGCATGGATTTTGAAGCCTTCCTTCTTCATTTGCAAACACTACTTCTTGTTAAAAGAGTAAAAATGGTCTTTTGAGCTCTCATTTACTTGCACACTTAACCAATTATGTATCTGTGGGTTAGAATGCAGACGTGAGGAATGGAGCATTTTGTTGTTGTTGTCCCAGCCCAACACCTTTGTTGTGCAGACTTGGTCTGGTGAGGCTCTCAGTGTTTCACAGTACAGTGTACAGTTTCTATCCAAGTCTCCCTCATGCCGGATATTATTCCTGCAGTGTTGCAGAGGAAGGAAATTTTGCTGAACTTTTCTTTCTTGCTGTCTCCACTGCTAACTTTGAGTCTGATTCTAAAAGCATAAATGAGAAGATTAGTTCTTGTGCCATCGATTCAGTGGAATTACAGGCACCAGAAATATTTCGGGGTGAACTATCAGAGTACCACAACAATGAAATAAGTCTAAATTTGGGAACTCTTAAACTAATAGTAAGTCCCAGTGCTAGGATAGCATGTTACAAACGTATCTATTTAGCTGAGTCATTAAAGGCATAAAAGAAATTTTTTTTTGGTGAGGTATCCCAGATCATTTAATAAGTACAGATACATGTATATGCCTTGAGCCACTGATGTTAATTTTGTTGAAAGCCTAAGTTTCGTGACTTGTGAGAAGGAAATATGTCAGAAGCCACTCAAAGCGTCATTCTTGAGAAGTAGCACTTGGACTATTTTACTTTAATCTGTCGTGAGCCACTTTTTCTAAAATACCTGACAAGAGAAACTACAAGGGAATCAACTGGTTAAAATTATCCACTTTAAAGCTGGTACTGATTTATATGCAAACAATGTTTAAATCAAGTAATGTGCAAGACTATGACAGAGTTCTAATTAATTGATCAGAAACAGACTAATCAGCTGTTGTGTTCAGTAACTGAGTCTTCTGAGTCTTTTCAAGTTAATTTGGTTAGGAGGTATTTTAACTGGCTATTTTTGGAACAGATTGTTTATTTGGAAAGTGCATCTTCTGCATAATAGAATCACAGACATCATCCTTACAATATCACTTTGTTTTAAGAGGACTTCTCCAGACCTTGGGTCGTTCCTGCAGTGTCTTTTTTTTTTTTTTTTTGGTCAGCAATACATGGCAATGGGCAAAGCCAAAACTAAGTACTGGACCAGGAATGCTGGCAAAGCAAGTCAGTTTTTCTTACGTGTAAGTTGTATATCCAATCTAGCAATGATAGTGTTAGAAAACTGTGGTAATGTAAGCAGTTTAAATTTTAAGGGCACTAATCAAAATAATATCATGTACAAGTCAAGAGTGACAGGTTTTTCTTGGTGCTGGGTGGGGGCTGACAGTAGGCAGTATTTACTAGCAGTACCTGCAATAATTTGTCAGCTGAATGGAGGATTCGGAGATTTTATACCAGAGAAGTCTATGCAAGAGCTTTTGCTTCAGATGACCACTACCTTAGTTCCAATGCACATCAATTTTTCAGCAAGATTATTCCTTACATTAGAGATTATTGTGGACTAAAAATGTGATATTTTTTATAAGACAAAAAGTAGTATCTCATTGTAAACCTAATGTTGTATCTTTCTTTATAGCTGTAAAATATCTGAATGAAAGTGATGCATTAAAACATTTTAAGCCTTTAAAAACAAAGGTCTCCTTGCCGGGCCAAGTTGTTCCAGAAGGCGTCTTTACTCTGCATTACTTTACCCTCATTCACCTTTCTGTATGGGCTCCTTCCTCTTGCTCAGCTGAGACTTCTGTCACCATAGTACTTACCTATTTATATATATCTAGGATATACACAATCTGTTGCATACATTTATTCTCTTTATCTTATATATTGTGCATCAAGCATAGCATTCAGGTTTTTTGTGGGTTTTGACTGTGTATTTTATTTGTAGCTGTAACATTTACATTTCATTTATTTTATACATTCCTCAGTTGACAGACCATTAATTACATTAATTCCCATTTTGAAATTAACTGTGAGTCCATGGATTTCAGGATTTCAGTATCTCTGGAACCACATAAAATTGCACAGTGTTAGGAGTACCCAGCAATTGTCGTTAGTAATAGATGAACAACACAGTGATGACTTCTAATAACACAAGATGAACAGTAATGCCTTACCTCCTTACTGTGTACTGAGCAAAGGTTTCAGAAAAGAGTTAATCTCTCTTCTGCATCTGGAAAGATCACCTTCTAGGTGTTAGCTATAATCGCAGTAAAAATCTGCTTTCGGCATAAAGAAGAGCTGTATTTCAGAGAGCTCTGACTGAGCCATGAAAACCTTGTCATTCAGTCCATATCAGCTGTGATAAATAATGGTTAGCACTAATATGTCACTTTTCATACAGTCCACAGATACTAACCAGTACTGGTAAACATTGTGATCACAGTTTTACAGATGTGTAAACACAACACAGAATAGAGTGTAGGTGTATTCTGAACTTGCCACTAATTTGGGGTTCCTAAATCTTAGTTTCCACACCCAACGCACATATTCTTAACTTTGGATGCCCTCTGATGCCCAAGTGCTGGTTTTGTGTTGTTTGTACTAACTACTGCAAACTTGCTTTCCTCCAGATTGCTCTTTTAGCTGGGCAGGGGAAATCAAATGCATTATTTTACTGGGGTTGAAGACAGAATTTGCCTGAGCAAGGATAACCAGTCCAAAAACATGGTTAACATATTGGGAAGATTGTTCCAGTATAAACTGATAGTTCTGATAATCCCAATAATAATTTCTGAGATAGTGCATAGAAGATGTGTGTATTTGTGCATGTTCACATATGTACAACTTAATGACAGTTTTGTTTTTTTCCAGAATTATAGATCAGCGGTTTGAGAAAGTTTCTTATTTCGTCTTTGGAGATTTCAACTTTAGACTGGATGCCAAAGCAGTAGTAGAGGTAGGACTTTGATCTTACATCTGTTGCAGACCCAACCAGTTTTTATTTCTCAGACATTTTTTTCCTGTGGAGAAACTAAGAGTGACTTAATGAGCTAATCTTAAAGTTGAAATTGATGTTGGCTAAGAATATTTTCAGCCAGATCATCTGACAGGTAAATAAAAATTACTGTGCTGAGAATCTGCTGGAGAAATTAAGAAAAACACAATTGACAGGCAGTGTTTTTTCTAAGTAGTGGTGTGTAAAGTGATTATTACATGCAGAGGGAGCTATAAACGTGAATGGGCTGGGGAGTAATACTATCTGTTCGTGATTCTGTGTAAAGGAAGGGGAAAACATGAGTACCAACCTAAGCTGAGACTTCAGATCTTGACACAGAAGAGTACCTTCCTTTGGGAGGTATGTTTGAGCTTCAGCAACAGATACTGCATTTCTGTAGTATGTTTGTGACTTCTATCACTTGCTGCATCTCACAGTGAATTTCATAGTTTTTTACTATAATTGGCAGGGAAAAATAAGAGAAATTTCCTAAATTTCTGTGATAGCATTCTACTTGAAAAACACAAGAAGACATTTGTGTTAACCTTCGTGACAGTAACACCTGAGTTGGAAGGGCGACTGGAAAAATTGTATAAAGCCAAAGAAAATAGAGTAAGCCTTTCTCATCATGAGTTGAGATTACTTTGACTTCACTGCCAGAGCACTGCTCCAGCTAGCATGGGGTCAGAAATAATATCCAGGTTGAACACCATTTAATCTCATGGTTTTCCCACTTTTAATTTTCGGAGATGCTGTAGTGTCTTTTTTGCGTCCTTGGATTTAGGCATGTATCTTCTAAACCAGAAGCTTTTATTTTGTAAATCAAGCAGCAGTAGGTAAGTAAGTAGCCTGTGTGTCAAAGGCTGGATACTTCTTGTACAGGTGCAGTGCACTTCTATATGTGATGGATGATTAGCCCTTCATCTGTTGAAAAATATGAGCTTGACATTATAGCACAGTGTATGTCGCTAATAACTTCCTTCTCAGAATCCTTTATACATTGTAGTCATTTAACCAACAAACGTAAAGTATAATTGAACTGGATTTCCAGTCAGTGATTCAGACTGTTCAGCTTCAGATGGTGAGCATGCAATAAGAACTAAATCCTGTTCTCTCACACTGCTGTTACTATAGTTATCATCCATGTTTATAGGCAGCTGGTTTTTGAAATGTCTCTTGATTCAGTAATAGTGCAGTAATGTTACTGAGAATGTGTCTGTCTCAGAGAACACCTCCATTGATCATGGTCCAGCAGAATTCTTGAACACCCTGTATTGACAAAGAGCACTACAAGGTTTTCCTAACTTACTGCCTTGCGGTTTGCAGGATTGAAGCTGCAGAGAATACTTTCTTTATTACTGATAGGTTAAGACTGCTACATTTATACTTGTGAGTTCCAAAGTATTCTGCTCCCAACAAATAGCACCAGTAACTACCAGTGTTGCATATTGAGTAAATTGCACAACTGGTGCTAAGAGTACAGGTTTAGAACCCTGACACAGCACTTTTCATCTGATGAACACTGTGCCAATGTCAATTGAAATAGACAAGCATACAAGCTTATATAAAAGATGTAATTTGAAAGTGAATCAAACTTACCCATCCTTCCTAGATAAAGTTCGTGCATGTGTGTGTTTATAAACTCTTAGAATAACACATTTTCTACTGCTTTATTTGATAAATAGCATACATGAAATTAAACAGAACTTGACCCAGATCACAGTGTGCTGAACCCCTGGACACTGTAAGATGCTGCAAGCAATAAATGTGTTATGGAATTGTAGACTTACACAAAACACTAAGAATGAAATATCTTTTTAAAGGATTTCTTCCTTAAGCCACTGCAAGGGAGTGGCTATAGAGTCCTGGCGTAGTGTGCCAGATCAGATGCTAAAAGTGTTACACTTATTAATTCACAATTAATAGACGATAAATTATTCATATATAATTTCATAATTTTTTTAATAGGAACCTTAATCTAAAGTTATATTGATTTCCTTGCCAGGAAAGTCTGCTTTAATGTTGTTGGGGTAATCCAAGAAAGATCGATAAGGCAGGTAAAGGCTTTTGGCAATTCTGAGATGCATGTATGCATTAGCAAGTATGTTGTCCAGAGGGATAAACTGGCAAGAGGGAAGTAGGACATCAGTAGCATAAAGGGCATGGCAAATACAATTGTTTTACAGTTGATTTGTATTACAGCTTAAGCATAATTTGTAGCTTGGTGTAATGGTGTTCAGAGAAACACCTCCAGCTCAGCCTATTAAGGCATTTCATTCTGAAGCAAGTCAGTGATAGGGTTCCATTTTAATCACGTTTTCTAGGGACAGTGTAGGATTAAAAATAAAGGCAGTGTGAAAGGACCCAGAATCACAAAAGATTTTTTTATCCAGAGGTCTCAGGACTTGTGTGCTGTGAGTGTCTGCCAGGCATTGGTGGTGCTGGAGTTTCTCCACCAGGTCTTGGTGAGTGATGTGCCGTGTTGGCTTTTGGCCACAACGTGGGAAACTGGTAGAAGGTGTCCTTCCATTTGATGACATCAGAATTATGAGGAATCAGCTGAATCCATTGAATCTGATGGGATTCATCCCATACTGAAGAATTTGACAGATGATATAGTTGAACCTTTCTCAACAGTTTACCAGAGGTCTTGGAAATTTGGCATGTAAGTTTAACTGAGCTGTAAGTTTAACTTCAGTACCTGGAAAATTATGAAGTTTTTCCTGTGAAAAGTGTGTGAAAGACACATAGAGCATAGCACAAGCATCAGGCCCACCCAGCATGCGTTTGTAAAAAGGAAGTCAACTTCCTGAACAGGGGCAGCAGAAAGGGAGGTATTCATCTGTTCTCCCTCATATCTGGTGATGAGACACTTGGGAATGGCTCAAGGTTGCACACTGGACATTGGGAAAAATTACTTTGAAGGGTGGTCAGGCACTGGAATAAGCTTTCTAGCAAGATGGTTCAGGCCCCATTCCTGTCATTGTTCAGGAGGCATTTGGACAGTGTCCTTAATGATACCTTTTAACATTGGGTAAGCCCCAGAGTAGTCTCCACAGTTGGACTTTGATGCTGGGGGGGAGTTCCCTTCCTATTGAAGCTATTCTATTCTGCTCTACTAAATAGGAGTTTTCCGTTCCACACTACTAGAATCTCCTAGGGCACACTTGGTGCCATCTACTCCTCAGGCAGGCTAAAGCCTGTAGCTGCTGCTTCCATGACAATAAACATATGAGAGCATAAATGCTACAAAATTTTAGTTACAGTAGCTGTAGTAACGTGAAAAGCCTTAGTAGTTTTTCTCATAGCTAAATCCTTGTCAAATCACTGCTCTTGCTCAGTGCATTATGAAGAATAAAGATCACCTCATTACTGCATTACCCAATACACCTAATCAGTGGCTCAATCTGCTGGTTTCCTCGTGTTGCTCTCTGCTTTGTTGCAGTTCAGACATGCAGGAGTGGGTTCCCTCTCGCTGCCCGTCTCTCTGCTCCGGAGTGCAGCAGAGTGCAGGGACCAGAGGGATGTGGGCTGTGGCCCTGATGGAGCTCACCCAGCCTCTGCCCAGGATGTGTGTGAGGAGCTATAGGCCTGCACACGGTCAGACTTTCCTGGCTTCTGCCATCATGTGTTTTCAGTTACTTGGAGGATCTCCTACCAGTTGTTAGCGGGTTGGTGCAGACAGGAGCTAAAAACAGGGAGTGCTCTGATCTGTCTGTGTCTTCAGCTATGAGGACTTGTTAGGTCCTGGTAGGATATCCATTCCATATTGCATCAAGCTGGTCTGTAGCAACCAAACGGTCATGCCGAGGCACCGTGAGTGCTTCTTCATTGCAGAAGTGCTGAACCTGTTCCTGGGTGCTCTGCTGGTGTCACCCGGCAGCCTGATGCTCACACATCCTCATGTTTCTGCCTGGCTGAGCTGAGAGACCCATCCCTCCACCTCAGGGAAGACAAAGTTGATAAACGCTACTGGCTCATTACTGTAAAACATCCAGAAAATCTTATGGCCCCTTGGGAAGCACCACTTTTTTGAAGAGCCTTTGCAGATCCATTCACTTTTGCAGTGCTGTCATATGACATGCTGGCATTGCGTTCTGATAGTGTCAGACATCTTCAGTTCATCATTCTTCATGCTTAAATTTTTTCCAACAGTAAGACTAATAAGTAGGAAATTCCTTCAGCAATGCTATACATACAAAAGAAAGGTTTGAATTTCCTTGGGTTTTGATCATTTTAAGGTGTGCTTTAAGAACTTAATTTTTTTTTCTGATTCTTTTTCTGATTTTTTAAATAAATTTTTATAATCCTACACTTGCAAAATTGATCACGTTTTAGTATTGTGCTGATGTTTAAATTCAAATATACCCCTATTTAATTTTTTTGTAAATGCTTGACTTTTTGGATGAGATAGAGCATTCTATTTTGGATGAGATAGAGCCTGCTGCTTACAGGTGTTCAGCACTTCTCTTATCAGTTGTGTTTACAACATGTACAACATTACTATAAATGTTTATTTACAAATTCTAATATTGACCTATCTGCAGTGTCTCTAATAGAGGTATTGTCACAGCATTTCATATAGGCATTAATTCATTATGTGTCTATACGTAGATGATGGTTCCCCTGTAATTGTTCTGGAAATGGTGCTCTCTGTAATACGGGTAGGTCACAGTAAGCTTCATGATTATCAGAAACGCATTGCAAATTATAGTATTGTGTGTGACAAAGGTAGTTTTTCTGTTGTTGGAAAATTGTCTTTTTAATTAAAAGATTTGATGAAATCTGTAGCAGCAGAAGGTGCGCTGGAGGCTGAAGTTGAATAATAGTCTAGAAATGTAGAAGTCATTGTAAGTTAGTGTTCTGGCTCTTCAAAGAGTAATACAGTAACTGTTTGAAGATTCTGAAATTAATCAAGATTGTTTGGCTATCAAATTAATAAAATTAGGATACCACAATCT